GAATTTTTTCTGGGTCTTAGATGCCTGATACCTGATCCCATCAACACCACATGATCACACAGGCTGGTGTGCTTCCATGTCAGTTGTGTTGCTTCTCAGCTAGATGGTCATTAGGCTTGTTTATCTTCAAGCCTTTAAGACCCCAGATGCTATATCTTTTTATAGTCAGGCACCATCAGCTTTCTTCACCACATTTGATTATGCACCCATTTTGTCTTCAGCGATCGTTTCAGGAAGGTGAGCATCACAGAATGCTGGATTATTAGAACAAAATGTTCTTGCATTGAGGGTGTACTTGAGTAGACGTCCAATGTCCATCTGCAACCTTAATTCTTAACAGATAGATATAAGTACATAGATCTATTCCCCTTTTGTTATATATAAATATATTTACATATGTACATGCCTGTATTTAGACCTCTCTAAATGTCCTTTGCCTCCTAGTTCTTTCCTCTATTTCCTTTTAATTTCCTCTTGTCCCACCATCATGTTCGGCCTTCATTCGGGTTTAGTAATTCCTCGCTGCTACAGTGCCCTTGATTAAGCCCCACTAGGCATCCTACACCCTTCTCTCCATTGATTTTAGTTCACTTGTAATTCCCTTGTTCCCTCCCCCTTCATTTCTCTCACCTTCCCTTCTCCTGTAATCCAGCCAGAACCATCTTTTCATCTCTGAATTGTTTATCCTGCCTCTCTTATCTAGATAGACATGCAGGGACGTTAACAAGTGCAAAACCCAGACAAAGCCAAACAAAACAACAAAGGAAGTTGTTAGTCTGGGTACTTTAGAGAAACAAATCCACAGCAACTCATGTATAAGAGAGAGTTTTATATAAAGGTTAAGTGTGCATCAAGAAAGCATCCCAACCCAGTGCTGCCCAAGCCCACAAGTCCAACATTAACCCATTAGTCCAACACCAGTCCACAAAGTCCTCCTCCATCTCACAAAACAGACACAATGATGCTGACTGCAGGAGGAAAGCTGAGTCAGTGAACGTGTAAGCATCTCAGCGCTGGCAGGGGTCTCCACATGGCTGCTCCAGCACCCAGGGCTGCATCAAGGTAGGTCCATGTGCCCTCTCCTCAGGGAGATCTTGCAGGAAGTGACCCTTGCCAACTAAAGCAGGGAACTGGCTAAGGCAGCTGCACCCTGGTCTGACCATCAGAAAGCAAGAAACCCAAGAACTAGAAAGGCAAGGCTCACCAAGCCATTTATCCCTCCGCCCTTCAATTAATCCCACGTGTTATCGGCCAGGTTGACACAAGAAACTACCTCAGAAGTCAAAACCAACAAAACAACAACAACAACGACAAAACAAAAACAAAATAACAACAAAAAGAAAGCCACAGACAAAAATGGAAAAGCCTATAAGTAGTTCCAGGTCTATCTGATGGCCTTTAAGAACGCCACTGACTTTCTTCAGGTTCTCTGCACCTACTCCTTCAGAGGTGGGCCATCTGTTCCTTCTGTCTCGTCTATCTTAGGCTGGATGTGCCAAAGTGACCCGCTTACGTCAGCGATCCCTGTGGCCACACACCAGCACACACAGCAGCACACAGGGTGGCAAACCCACAGAGGAGCCCTGGTCTGCAGAGCGCAGGGATGGGAGTGAATTCGATTTTTTGGTCCCCTCACCCCCAGCACCAAGCCTACGCATAGCCAGCACTCACAAACGGTCAGGGCCAGGAAAAGATGAGGTGACGTCAATGAAGAATGAGGTTCTCACCCATGTGCTTTTCCGCTGCAAAGCCTGGACTCCCACACAGCTGGTGCTCTGCTGCCCCCGAGTGGTAGCCTGTTAGGTGGCAGGCAGGCGCGTGGTCTTGACCCACCTTTCTCGTGAAAGTTGTTTGGAACAGAGAGAGTACACATTGTAATGTCTTCTGACATTAGTCTTTTCTGATTCACCTGATTGATAACTGCGCCGTTTCAGGGCTATGATGCATTTCATGAGAAGTTAGACTCATTGTTCTTTTAACCCTGCATTGGAAACAGTGCACCTTGTGTGTTTTTGTCTTATTTTTTTATCCACAACCTGTATGGGAACATGGCTGTGTCTGTCAATGTAAAGGTCTTTCGGTCTTTGGTTACGGTAGCACAGAGTTGAATAGATGATGTGTAAAATTCTCTCTGTCTTAGGGGTCCTAGAGCGTTTTGTATCCCCCCTTACTGTAGGCCAAAGTGTTTGGGGACTGTGAAAACCTTTTATTACCTTCAAGCACTTGCAAAGGAGAAATGCGACATTGTTCTCACACATGCGGTCATTTAGGGGGATTTTCAGGCTTTTTACTCAGAGTACCCGGTGAGATACTCCACTTATTCTTCATTCAGTCACAACTTAAAAATATATATTTTTTATTCACAACTGTTTTATGGGAAGAATCTAGCATTAATTTTGAGAAAAGAGAAAACTTCATTTAACTTTGAGTGATGTCATCAAAACAGTGTACAGTGTTTTTTTGTTCACATTGTGAACTTGAAACACTGCCAGGATTGTAACGCTCCTGCAGTGGGTCTCAACCTGTGGGTCTCGACCCCTTTGGGAGTCAAACAACCCTTTCAGAGGGGTCGCCTGATTCATCACAGTAGCAAAATGACAGTTATGAAGTAGCAACGAAAATAATGTGATGGTTGAGGGGGTCACCACCACATGAGGAACCGTATGAAAGGGTCGCGTGGCATTAGGAAGGTTGGGAACCACTGCTCTAGTGTGTTTGGGAACCCATGTCTCAGTGTAAGTTAGGGTGAGGGTTTGGGTTACTGTTTGTGCCACATTTTAAACTGTTACAATTATTTGTACTTGAAACAGGGAAACACTAAATTGCTTTATCATCATCAGAATAAAGCGGATTTCTCTTGTGCTTTTTAACTACATTACAAGCTGAAATGTGTTTTGCAAATCCTTCTGACCGATCCACAAGCTGACATCATTAGCTGTTACCTTTGAGAAATGTATTGCTTTTCTTGAGAAGTAAAATGTATTGTTCTTCTAGTGCTGTCCTTCTAGAAAGCGCACATTGCTTTCTTATTCACTGTGTGTGTTGGAAATATGACCTGGAAACATAAACGTGCCTGTGGTTCGGCCAACCAAAGCAGGACAGTGCAGTGGGTCCCACGTGACATTCCTGATTCCTGATATGAAGTCTACATGGAGGCTTTACAGACTGTTAGGAAAGAAACTGCATGTTTTCATTTATTTCACAATCCATACTGGGAATTACTGAAGAAGAAACCCAAGAAAGGTTGGCGTGGCAGCTCTCAGAGTAAACCAAAGTGCCTTGAATCATGTTTAAGACACTTTGAGCTTCTTGCTGTTCAAAAAGATGCACAAAACTGGTTTCCTCATCCTACAATTGTAGATCTGCCAGGCTTTCAATCAAAGCACCCATTTAAATGTCCTTCGTCATTCATCTTTCTTGTACCTACACTGTTTTGTTTGAGAAGGGTCACTCATGTTTGCTTTCCCTGCTGTCCCTCGGGCGTTCTTTGGACACAAAGGACATTGGAAAATGTGTCAGGTTCTCTCTTTGCTGTCTGTGAGATTAGGAAACTCTGTGTGTGTGTGTGTGTGTGTGTGTGTGTGTGTGTCTTTCAGGCCCTGCCTGTGGCCTCAGGAGCTTGGAGCTCCTGCCCAGCCCAGAGGTAAATGTAAGCAGGGTCTCTGTCTTCACATCCTGGCTGCTGGGAAGACAGAAAGGGAGAGAAAGACAGCCAGGAGGAGAAGATTTATGGGGGCGGGGGCTCCTTCAGCCTCTCTGAACCTTGGAAGGAAGGCCTGGCAGCAGAGATGAACAGCACCCAGCGCTGCCCTGAGGCTCTGTGGGTCCAGGGGAGGGGATTGGATTCCTAAATGTTCTAAAATTGATTGTGGTGATGATTGCACAACTCTTTAAACATGCTTAAACTGAACTGTATGATATGTGAATTACATGCCAATAAAACTTAAAATTCTAAAAAGATTGGAGTATAAAATATACAAATTTTAATCCTAATTTTAAAATATTATAAAAGGAAAAAAAGACATTTAGCTAAGTGAACTAAAACACAAAAACATGTTGACTGGGTTATGTATGTAATACAATAACATTGTGGGGAAAATGTATCTAAATCTGTATTTGCATAAGAAAGAAATGTCTGGCCGCATATCTACCAATGTAACCAGTGATCACAGAAACCGCCAGTTTCTTTCTGTTGTGCATAAAGGCGCAATGAGACCACTATGCTGATGGCACCTAGCAACAGTGTACTCCCAAGTTAGCCGTGGCCCTCCGGAAGAGAAGGGCTAACTTTCACACGAAAGCTAAGTTAGATTGGGTTTCAGTCATGTCACTGTGTAACTCAAAGAAACTCCATTTCCTCTTTTTTTTCTCATTGCATCTTTCTCTTGTGTCAACAGATAATTATAACATCCACCTCCCGGTGCTGTGATGGAGAGACGTGACATAATAAGAATTGATCACTCCTGATCAAAGTAGGCTCAGACCAATACAGGAATCAGGAAAGGCGATCCGGAAGGAGGAGGCACGCGCCTGCACCTTGGGAAACTTGGCAAGGCTTGGCTTCGCTTTATTTTGGTTCCTGGCTGTCTTTTCTGAACATCTAATAGCCATCTATCTATTTATCCAAAGTCTGCAGCGAGGGCGGAAAGGAGATCTAGTGACGCATTGGTTACGCGACCCGATAGGCGGAAACCGCCGGCCTCTACGCGGGAGAAAGACGGCGCTTTCCCCTCCACTAGCCAGTTACAGCCTCGGACCGCTGGGGGCGCCACCAGTCGGCGGGACCCGACGGCACTGGGGTTTTGCATTCGTTGTTTGCGCTCTGGGACCACGGACAGCGGCGCTCCGGCTCCCTCGGACTACAACTCCCGGCAGGCTCCGCGCACGCATCTGCCACGTCGCCTGCTGATGGCGCGATAGGCAGCGCGGGGAATTTCGAGTGGCAGTGCAGCGCTGGAGGCGGGCGAGTGGCCGACCCCCCAGGCCCCCTGGAAGCGATCATGGACACGCTGGCCGAGCCCCGATGGCCCCCGGCCTTGGGCGTCATGAAGGTGGGTGCTTTGGAACGGGGAGGGGCACCCAGGCGTCCGCGAGCGCCGGACCCACGAGCGGGAAGGGTGAGTTGGCGGGCCGGGCCTGGGTTCTCGGCTTCGCGCCGCCTCCTGCTGCCCCCGCGCCTCTGGGCCTCAGTGTCCCCCCCAGACGTGGCGGGGCCGGCTTTGTTCTGTCGGGCGAGTTGAGGTCGACTGTCCGCTGGGAGCTGGTGTTCGGTGGTTCGGTGGTTGGAAACAGGCGTTAGGAACAGTGACAGCGGCGATGATAGCCCGCCCTTTCCAAGAGGGACTTTGTGCCGAGCAGTTTGTAAACTCTCCCCGTCCTTTAGTGGAGTATTTCCCAAACTGACACCAAGTAACATCCACGTCCCCTTACTCTCTCTAGGCTTAGCGCTGGGTTGTGCTAGCATACGCCCTCATTCCTCGTTCCTAAACCTCTGGAACGATTGCTAATCCCAGGCTCCGCACGACCCCAATGCCATCGAATCTGTTCCAACGCACCGCGACTCCGGGGTTTCCAAGCAGAGTCCTTGCAGCCACCTGACAGCGCCACTAGGGCTACTTCCAAAAACCCAACCCAACCCAACCCACTGCCTTCAATCCAGTTGATGGCGACGCTGTAGGACAAGGTAGATCTGTCCGAGAGTGTAACAGTAACCGTTTGCGGGAGTACAACCCCCCCCTTCCCGCGGAGCAGTTGGTGGTTTCTAACTGCTGGATCGCAGCCCAAGTTATAACCACTAGGCCACCAGGACTCCAATGACCACTATTCCGCCAGGGACCCCCTTGTTAGCCTTTCATAAACAATTTCATTACAATAGCATTTACTTTTATGGCTACTCCTTTTGATAAGGCATGCCAGTTTCTGTTGACCGTAGTGATTAACTCCTACGCATAGTGGGCTGGGCATAGTGGGCTACCAGTGGGGCCGAACTGCTAGGTTGGGGGTTTGAAATCACCAGCTGCTCTGCAGGAGAAAGATGAAGTCTTCTGTTCCTGTAAACTTCAGTTTAGAGCCTTGGAAACCCTTAGGGACGCTATAGGGTTGCCATGAGTTGGAATGGATGGGACGGCTATGAGCAGTTTGCTAAAGCGCACTTTGGATTTGCTGTGAGGATTGGGATGGAAAGCCTTTTTTCTTTTCCACTTTTGGGATGGTGGGCGGGTCACGTTCTTGTACGCTTCTTTTCTTTATAAACTGAGGATAATGCTATCTGTCCCACTGACTTGTAAGGCTGAGGACAAACTGGGGGGACTGGGGAGGCTCACTTTGCCCCCTAGCATCCAGTGTTATCTATAGTGTTTGGGAACTCAGACATCCTGATCTGATGCATGGCATCAAGTAGCAGGGTTTTGATTGATGGGGTGTTAGCACCAAGGTGCAGTGGAGAGTAGCCTAAATGTTAAACTCCCGTGGTCCTGGGTTAAATCAGGACTCTGCTTCCTGCTAACTGTATAGAGTGAACCCTCGCCACTTCGTGCTTTGACTTCCGCGGCTTCACTCTATCGCGGTTTTTGCGTAACAGCACCCACTGCCTACACCCGCTCCTTCAGAGGAAAAAGACGGCGACCCACCTGTAGAGTACATCCCTTAAGTCATTTCATAGGCTATTGATTACAGTATTTGTAAGAACTATGTATAATAATACTGTATGTGAAATATGTAATACTGTAAACTAGATGCCATAAATAATATAATAAATGATAATTGTAATGTCCAAAATGTTTTACTGTATTTTCCCTTTTTCGTTTAATAAATTGGGTAATACGAGTGTAATGGTGACTAAAGGGTGTTTTTTCATGTCCTCTATGCTCTAACTACGAAAATATTTGATTTACAAATAAGGAATCCTACTTCGCGGAATTTCATTTATCACGGTAGGGTCTAGAACCGATTAACCGCGATAAACGAGGGTTCACTGTATAACCTTCAGTCGGTGATTTAGCATCTCTGAGCCTCAACTTCCTCAGCTCAAACTGGAGACAAAAGTCAACGGTTGGTATTCATGTTGTTAGCTGCCTTCCGCTACTTCCATCTCCTGGCTCCTCTGTGCACAAGGGGCTGGCCGGGGACCCACCTGTTGCTATGATCACATCCATTGTCTGGTTTCCAGAAGTAGATTACCAGGCCTTTCCTTTTAGTCCAGCGGTTCTCAGCCTGTGGGTCGCGGCCCCTTTGGGGGTCGAACAACCCTTTCACAGGGGTTGCCCAATTCATAACAGTAGCAAAATGACAGTGATGAAGTTGCAACAAAAATAATGTTATGGTTGGGGGTCACCACCACACGAGGAACTGTATGAAAGGGTTGCGGCATGAGGAAGGTTGAGAACCACTGTCTAAGTCTGTCTTTCTTGCGAGTGTGGAAGGTCACTGGGATCTGTTCGGCATTAGAACAACATGCAAAGTTCCCTGACAGACGGGCTCTGTGGGTAGGGGTAGTACCTAGATCCCTCATTGGGAAGGCGAACCACCGTTGAGCCCCAGGCTCTCCAACAGTTGATCGAGTTGATTAAATGAGTTGGTGAATGTGGGTAGGGGTGCTCTTAAGTTTGCTCATCATCCTGAACATAGTGCATGGCACCTCAATAGGTGCTTAACGATGAGTGACATCTTAGCAAAGATGTCGCTTTGAGGACTAAGGTGTACTTGACCCACGCCGTGGTACTTTCATTCACCCCTGGTAAGCACGTGAAACTGGACAATGAATAAGGCAGACTGGAGAAGAACTGATGCGTTCGGCTTATGGTGTTGGCAAGGAAGATTGACAGTACAGTACTGTGGACTCCCAGAAGAACAACTGAATCTGTCTTGGGAGAAGTACAGCCAGAGTGTTCCTTAGAAGCGAGTTGTCAAAACTTTGTCTCATGTATTTTGGACGGCTCATCAGGAGAGACCCGTCCCAGGAAAAGGACACCCGTTCTTGGTAAAGAAGAAGACCAAGGAAGACGGGGGAGACCCTCAATGAGTCGCTCCAACAGTGGGCTCAGAGGTAACACTTGAAATAGTGGTTCTCAACCTGTGGGTCGCGACCCCTTTTGTGGGGTTAAAGGGAAGAAGGAACCCCACAAAGCATCACAGGTTCGGTAGGCGCAATTGTACAGCGATAATAAGTAGAGATTATAGTAAAGTCATAGAGATCATGAGAGTTAAAGGATGGAGTCAAGTAATGGAGTCAGGCGCAATTCATGGTAGCATAGCTCACCTCAGCCCGGCTTGATGGTCCTCGTGGAGGGGGCTTAGCCGTCAGAGAAGAAGCCGCTGCTTCGTCCCCCTTAGTCACCTTCTCCAGCCACCCTCCCGAGAACTTGGGAGCCTCATTATTTATTGCTAACCACGCATCATATCACTTTAGGGGGACCTGATTACAGAGTCATACATCACAGAAAGGGGCAATACATTTCATTCTTGAACAAGTTTGATCATTCTGGTGTCTCATACAATAAAGCAGACAATTACTATTCTGGGAGGCATGCAAGTCCCCTGATAGCAGACAATAACCTGAGTCACCGGGAGGGGTAGTGACATGGGCAATACAATCAATAGGAGGGGGATGACCTAGGGGTGTGCCCACATTTGTTGTGGGAATAAACAGTGGTGTCTGTTTGATCTAGACAGCTGATAATGGCTACCTAACCTTGGTCATCCTTGGGCAGGTTTGCCCTCTCTGGTATCTCCTGCAAGTAAACAGACCACCATTATCCTTATTAGAAGGGAGTGGGTCTTATTTAGGGTGAGTCAGACTAATAGTCTTAGCCACTATAGATGGCTGATGTTAAGGAGAATAACCTCTGACCTACTTTCGCTGCCTAAAGAACAGTCATTCTCAAGTAGCTAAGTCTGGTATATATTTTGGGGAGACAACTTAAGAGAAATCCTTCTGTTCCTCACACCCTTTGGGGGTTTGAAGGACCCTTTCATAGGGGTTAGCCGATTCATAACAGTAGCAAAATGACAGTGATGAAGTAGCCATGAAAATGTTATGGTTGGGGGTCACCGCCATATGAGGAACTGTATTACAGGGTCACGGCACTGGGAAGGGGAGAACCGCTGGACTGGAGCAAGCTGCGGGCCTGGCGTGTCTTGTTCGGTTGTACAAGCTGACTTGATGGCACCTAACAACAGCAGCAACGACTTGTTTATGGCTGGAGGTGTCTGCAGTGTTTGAGAATTTAATCAAGATCTCTGTTGGTGTAGCACTGAGTGCTTTGTGCTCTTCCTTTTGCTTTGTATTTACTGTTTGAAGGTTGAATTCATTCAAGAAGGCAAAAGAAATCTGTGACCGCTCCATCTACCAGCATTGTAGATTTAAGCCTAGTTTATGTTTCCACATTTCCACTGAGTCCCCTAGTGGTATTTTCTATGTCTCCTCTGGCTTTATGTACATTACAAAAGGACACAAATACACACGACCCAGGGGACCCTGGTGGCATAGAGCTGACTGTAAGATCAGCATTTTGGATCAAGCCGCTGCTCCACGGGAGAGATGAAGCTTTCTACTCCCGTGAAGAGTTACAGGCTCCGAAACCCCCAGGGGCAGTTCTGCTCGGTCTGAATTGACCCCATGGCAGGGGCTGAGTGAGACTTGCACTTGTACACACCGCTGCCAGGCTTGACAGATCGTCCACTTGTCACTAGCCTCGGCCTGGCGTGCTCCTTGCTCCACTGTGTGGAGGGGGTGGAACGTACTGTCGTGTAAGGTGGTACAGAAAGCAGCACTGCAAGTTCTTTCATTTTAGTCCTGATTTGGAGAATGCCCACGAGTAGTGCCCGCATTGGATACAAGGGTCCTCGTTCCCATAGTAAGGGTTTTAAGTAGACCAGCTAATGTTTGGTTTTGATAGCCTTGGGTTTGGTTCTGAACCTGTGGCGTGGCTGATATCTCTCACCCCGACTGACTGTGGGCCAGTGGATGGGGTGGAGAAAGAGGCCCGGTGAGAGCAGGGGAGCATGCGGGAGTGGGGCAGGGATGGAGCAGGCCAGGTGCAAGGGGCTGACACTAGGGCATGGGACCTGCGCGGCATCAGCCGAACCTCGTCAAGGGGGGTTGGGGAAACCGAGGTCTGAACGAATGAGGCCCTTTTCCATTTGTGCAGCTTCTCTGGGGTTAATTTTTGACTTTGCACTTTGGAAAAAGAAGTATTAAATGGAGAAAGCCTGTGTGGCAGGTGTTCTCCTCATTGTCTATTTCTGACATGAATATGTGCATTTGTACCTTTCAGAAACTAGATGACTTGCTGCGATGTGGGATTTGCTTTGAATATTTCAACATTGCCATGATGATTCCCCAATGCTCACATAACTGTAAGTGTGTTCCTTCTGGGAGTTCCGTAAAATGGTGACTTTGTTGTTGTTGTTTTTAAACATAAGGTACTGTTCATTTAACACCATAGATACGTGCATACTGTGATTTCCGAGGTTTTCGGTACCTACCTAGCTTATCTGAAAGGAGCCCTGGTGGCACTGCGGGTTAAGCAAGGGGCTGCTCATAGAAAGGTTGGCGGCTCAGACCGTCAGCTGCTGTGACCGAGAGAGACTTGACGGTGTCGCGTCTCGGGTACCCCACGCCGCAGGCCCAGCTGTTCACGAGGCTTGCACCGAGCCGGGAGTGATGAAGGCAGTCAAGGTTTTGGTGACTTGCCAACTTTCATTGTTCGTGTCGAAATCACACGCAGAAAGGTCACCCCAGGAGAGAGTGTGGAGAAGGTCCCCATCACCTTGACCAACTTGTAGTCACTCTGCGTCGGAAACGCCTCCCCTGCATTTTGAATTCATTCATAAACGTTCCTGCTGGCCCAGGCTGCTGGGGCCCGAGTGTTGATGCGGCCCCACAGGAAACCACGCAGCCTCAGACAGTAGGCACCGCTGCTGCAGCGATGGCTGCTCTGACAGGAACCTCACAACCCAACGGGTTAGGGAGAAGCCACAGAAGACTGTGGGCCGGCATTGGTGGTACCTCTGGGTTGCCCCTCGATTGGTGGGTCCTCTGCTGTGGACCCATAGATGAGGTCCTGTCCTGTCCTGGGTGGCATGGGGGCGCCCAAGGTTGGGCGGAGCGTCCAGGAGCAGTGCAGCGGGCAGGGACAGTGGGTGTCTCAGGAAAGCTGCCACTGACTCGTCTCCTGTCGCGGGAAGGCTGCAGGGTAGCGACTAGAATGGGGGCTGGTACAGAGACTCCAGGGTTGGAGGTTGGTGGTGGCCCCGGGGTTCCCGGGGAAGTAGGGGCTGAGAGGGAGTGAGGTGCCAATAGGGGGCTTTTATTTGCCAAGTATTTCAGAGGTTGAACCTGAGAATCTTTGTTTTTATCAAGCATTTCTAAGGTAGAACCGCAGCTCCCTAGTGGGAGAATTCTCCGACCGAAGGTCTTTCCAGGTGTTTTATCACTTGTGTGATGCAGGAAAGACACACCAACTGAAAGTTGGATCTTTCTCGACGACTCTAGTACTTACACACGTTTTACTCGCCCACGTGAGGTCTTTATTAGCCTCTGGGGCAGCCTGTCATGGCTCAGGAGCTGGCCACTAAGTTCCTGGAGTTACCTAGGACCATGACATCCCTTGCCCTCTATGTCCTCTATGGATGCTTCTTAGCAAGGCAAAGCAAATCAAGTCAGATTAGGAAATGTGCTTTCAGTCGATCATAGCTTTGATGTGAAAGCACTGTGATAGCGTAGTAAGAGGGTGGCTGGTGGCAGCGTGGACTGACTAAATTGCCCAGCAGCTCCTCAAATGGAAAAATGTCACGGGGAGTTGCTCCCTCAGAAGATGGTTGTGACAATTCAGCATGCAGAGTTCTGTGCCGGGACACTGTTGTTAGTGGCCCGCTAGGTGGTCCCGATGATGACCTCACGGACACAGAGTTCTGCTCTTCATTGGGAGGGCTATGGCCTTCCAGAAATGCATTACTCACATATAGCAAGGTGTCCTGCTTCGAATCTGATTTGTCAGAGATTATCCAAAAGCACTTTGACCCTTGCACATGTGTCCTAAGACTAATGAGCATTGTGTTAGACCGGGTTGACTAGAGAAACAAATCCAGGGACACTCATATATGTATAAGAAAGAGCTTTATATCAAGGAGTAATTATATCTCAAACAAACATGCCAACCCAGTCCAGTCCATAAGGCCGATATTAGTCTATAAATCCCTCTTCACTCATGAAACCACATGCAAAGATGCTGAATGCAGGAACATCACTGGCCAGTAGGTGCAAAGTCTCGTGGCTCCAATGGTGACGGCGGCATCACAGGGCTCTGGTGGCTCCGAGTGTGGCTGTCAACAGGAAGGGGGGGAAGGCAGAGAGTTGGGGGGGCCCCCAGACCCTCCTTATGAGGTGGCTACCCCCACAAGGAGACAGCATCAGGCTGTGACTTGATTGACAGGCTAGCCTCCACCCTCCACCCTGTTAATCAAGCGGATGTGAAATTATGTAACCACTGCAAGCACCCTGTACTACTGTAAATGGCACAATCCGGGCTGAGGAAAGGTAGATAGTGACGAGCCCCACTCATCCATGAGCTGATCAGTGTTTGGGCGGCCTGGGGGCCCACAGGGTCATGACACTATTTTCTCTCATCCGTGTATGTTTGAACAGAAATATGATGGACAGGGAGGAAGAGAGGTTTTCCTTTGAGGGAAAACAAATGAAAACACAAAAGCATGATCATCATAGTCCCTCTTTCCTTCCAGGATCTGAATTTAGTACAAAGAATGTGCTAAGACACATCCTCATTGCACTGTGACAAAGCACAGCACGCTGTTCAACTGACAGACAGAACTCCCGCAGGAGAACCCTTCCGCACCACTGCTGGGATGTGGTTCTCTTGAGCTGATCCTAGGGATCGTTTTGCTGTTTGCAGTTCTCACCGTTCCAATGAATTCATCACTATGCATTGACTCTTCAATACATGACAGCCAGTTGCCATCCCGTGGTAACATCAGCCCTTCGGCTAAAACGGAAAGCCAGCCACTCATGTGCTAGCCGACCTCTGGGAGTTTGTTTATACTGTACACAGTAAGGGGAGGTAAGAGGGGAAGACAAAAAAAAAAAAAAGAGGGGAAGACAGACAGAGTAGGGGAAAACGCGACGGGCTAAACTTCTCAATGTGAGCAGTCTCCTCCGTGATGCTCACTGAGAAGATGACCTGAGATAGAGTCCCAAAGAATGTGGAGGACCAGACCACCTGGCTCTGGGGAAACTAGGTCACCAAGCAGTGCCGGCAAATACAGTCTGTGGTCAGAGGGTGGTCAGCAGGTGAGAAACAGTGGCCAGAGCTGGTTGCGCCGGCGGGAACGTGGGCTCTGAAGGCAGGGAGAACGTTGGGCTGTGTGGGGACCACATCTGTAGCCATTGATTCAGTTTTGGAGTTTTTTCCTCCCTCCTTTTGGAAGATCACATTTCCCTGTATCTTTGCATGGCTGGGAAATTCATTGGGTGCTTCCCACGGTAGCTTTCATAGCTTGGAGCGTCTGGGTTTTGTCCTTCTTGGAGGGCTGGACTTTGTGTGAGAGGCAGTTAAGTTAATCGTGGATCAGACTGCTCCTGTCAAGCCTGTTGGAGCAGGCTACTGTCGGGTTAATTTTCTCTTATACTAAGGTGTGTCTGACCCTCTGGGACTTCTACTGAACCCCTTCCACGAGGTCTCTTCAGTCTGGCTGGTGGAAATTGGAACACTTCGTGGCCACGTGTGACTTTTCTAATCATTCTTTTCTTGGGTGTTGTCCTTTGACCGCATGGCTTTTCACTCTATGTATGCATAGATTTCCATTCACCCAGGGAATCCCACAGGCCTCTATCCCAATTTCTGCTGATCCTTCTGTAGGTAGGAGTCCTGGGGGCCGTAACTGCAGGGCTGTGGTTCAAGCCCACCAGCAGCTTTGTGGGAGAAGGAGGTGGCCCTCTGTTCCGGAAGGATGACTGGGCCCTAGAGGGTCGCTGTGAGAAGATGCATTGGGCTCAGGGCACTGGGTTAGGTTGGTTGGAGGCGTTCTTTATGGACCTTCCCTTTCGGGGACTTGGCCCTGCACGCTCTTGTTAAGGAGACGTGAGTTGGCGTCTCCTCGTGGCAGGGAGTTAATTAGCTGAGTTTCCTTACCTTCTGACGCCCCTGACTTCTGTTTCACGGCCCTCCCTGTGGTGAAGCGTATACATTTCCTCTAGGCAGAATGTTTGGGCTGGTAGAACTCCCCCTATTTCTGCCTGATGTCGCTGCATATTTTTTCTAGGCATTTTAATTGTTTACAGCCGGATAAGAAGTCTGGGCCCTGTTATTACTTCCTCAGGGACAAAAGTGGAAACTCTATGGATTTTCATTACATTATTTTGGGGCGCGCTTTCTTTTCATGAATTCTGCTTGATAGCTAAAAACTTCATCTTTCCGTCCACTTTTTTCTCTGTTTGCTTTGGCATGCACAGCTGTTGCTGCCGCCGCCGAGCTGTTAAGGGGAAGTGGGTGGCGCACTCTGGCAATACTGATTGCTGACGGGAGCAGCGTTCGCTCCCAGGGTGTGGTGGACCTTTTCTTCTTCATGACCAGCACCAAGCCCCGGTTGTTAGAGATGTCCGCGGGTCGGCAAGGCGGTTAGAACGACACCTAGCCGTCAGAGCGTCCACCAAAGCCGCGTCTCCAGATCCCTGAGCACGGGGACTGGGGATGAAGGGTTCTGCCGACTGATTCCCGTTTCTGAAATGTTGCTTTGTCCTTCTTGGAGGGCTGGACTTTGTGTGAGAGGCAGTTAAGTTAATCGTGGATCAGACTGCTCCTGTCAAGCTTGTTGGAGCAGGCTACTGTCGGGTTAATTTTCTCTTATACTAAGGTGTGTCTGACCCTCTGGGACTTCTACTGAACCCCCATGCCTTCCACGAGGTCTCTTCAGTCTGGCTGGTGGAAATTGAAGCTTTTAATTTAAAAGCTTCATTGTGATTTGGGTGGGAATTGACACATCACATTTGTTTCCCCTTTCACGTCGATACACGTCTTTGTTTTTGACATAGTTGCAATCCCCACTTCCCATTTCCTCCTTGGCTTTCCCGTGTCTGGTTGTTCTTTGATCCGTACTTCTTCCTGCCCTCGGAGCTTGTGGTCACTTTATAGGTCTCTCTCTCTCTCTCTCTCTCTCTCTCTCTCTCTCTCTCTCTCTCTCATTTCACTAGGAGCCCTGGTGGTGCATGGCGTAGTGGCTATGCCTTGGTTGCTAACCACAAAGGATATAGTAGTTCAAAACCACCAGTCACTCCGAGGGAGAGAGATGAGGCTTTCTACTCCTGTGAAAAGTTCCAGTCTCAGAAACCCATGGGGCCAGTT